TCGCTGGAAATGAAGTGTCCCCAAGTGCATCAGCATTACCATGATCTTTACCCGCTCTGTAAGAAACTCCCAATATTACTGCCCACCTCATCATTCGTTGAGATACAGCTTTTAATTCATTCAATAAACCGAGTAGAGGTTTGTGGTCAGTACAGATTACAAATTTACGACCATACAAGTATTTGTGAAATTCCTTGACTCCAAACACAACAGCTAATCCTTCTTTCTCTAACTGGGAGTCCGTTGCATCCCTCATACGATGAGCTAATACGGCCCCCACACCGTACGCTGAGGCATCACAGGAAAGGATGAGTTCTTTTTGTTCATCACAGGGGATCAAGACACGATTAGATTGCAACAACTCTTTGGATTTCTGGAAGGCCTTTTCTTTGTCTTCTTCCCAACACCAACACACATCTTTCCTCAAGAGCCTATGCAAAGGAGCAAGCAGGGTAGAAAGATTTGGAAGAAATCTGTTATAAAAGTTCAACAAACCCAAATAGGCTTTCAGCTCCGTCACTGAAAACATGTCGGCGCTGGTGCTAACTGTACAGCTTGAACTTTCTCTGGAACAGGATGAATACCAACTTTATGTCCCAAGAACACAACTTCCTTTTCCATGAACTTACACTTCCCTCTTTCAGTCTTCCTCCAGACTCCTCCAGCCTCTGCAATACTTGATGATTCATTTAAAATATTTATGTTTTTCCATGTATACTCAGTGTTACTGTTTAAACTTATTTCGGTAAGTTATTTAGCTATAATCAGAGGCGGACAGTAACTAAGTACATTTACTTGAGTATTATTTTTTCTGGGAACTTATGACTTTAACTTCACTTCATTTGAAAGACAAATATTGTACTTTTCACTCCACTACATTTCTATCAAGGTCCTCGAAGTAGAAGGTCATCAGCAGCTTTGAAAGTCAGAGGGTGATTTTTTTCTTCTCTAAAACGTGACTTTCTTTTTTTCAGACAGTTTATCAGTAATCACTCTTGTGGGGCTACATGAAGAGATTTCCCAGCATTTTTTGAGCACTGACCAGTTCCAAATGTGATATTTATTTACAACAATTCAATAATAAGACAATTACTAAATTGTGTAGGTGAAAATATGACCTATAAAGCCACAGAAGAACTGTTGTGCGTCTCCTAATTAAACACAAAAGGTGTTGGACTTGAAGCAGCACTGCACAGACTGTTCTGTGTGTGACATCAAAGTACCACGAGAG